ATGTCTTGTCAAAATAAACAACCAATTAGCCTGCTATCACAACAGAGCCATAACTTCCAAAACTCAATACTCCACAACACGCCATTTTTTTCTCATGAATGTCTCCCTTGTCTAAACCTCCAGTTGAAAATAGGACCATGCTGACAAACAAAGCCAGAATTTTTACATTCCTTTTACCCACCGAGGCCATCGAGATTTTCATTTTGTTTTGTCAGCGAGCATGAGCTGCCTGGAGGCTGGTTCTCATGCTAGTCTTACTGACATTTGAAGCATGCACATGCTTTTTGCCATTTTTGGAACATTATGTTTACCTTTTAAACCGAGCATCTTCAACGCTCAGGTACAGTGAGAATAAATGTGAGCAGGACAACAAGCCAAATCCTTCTATCTGTCAAGCTAAAGTGGATTTGTGTCTCGGAAGATGTTTGATGAATGCCTTCAACTAACAATATTGGCCAGCTTTCTGTCCTCCCCCTTTCTGCTCTGCTGATGAGCTGGGTGAGGTCAGCCGGCTCATCAGCAGCAGTCCGCTTTATCTCCAAGGAAAACAGGTGGTTGTGATTGTCAGTCGGTGCTCATGTGATGTAAGGCATTCTGTCTACATGTGTTTTCTATTTGGTATGTTGCATTTGCTAACACGCAGTCAGGTTGAGGAGGGATGCGCATATTTCTGGTTATGCTGCTGTTCAAAACACCACGACCACCACCCACCCGTGCACAGTTGTTTCAGGTCATTCCACACTAAGATTGATGTGGCACTCCCCCATGGAGGGATTGCACAAATATCCCCTCGACTTACAGGAATGAATTGGGATTTTTTGTCAAGATTATTACACAACTTCCAGTTAGGCAACAAGCACAAAAATGCATAATTGCTTCCTGGAACCGTGATGAATGTGCTGGTATTGCACCTCTCACTCAAGGGTGTGGAGCGACAGACTCTCGACTCGTACCAGGCAATCGCTGTGTAGCAAGGGACTCCTTTTGGTTTGTTTGCCCCGTTTTACTCCTCCATTAGTAAAATGTCAGACTGTATCAGACTTGTCCACAGGGGCCACAGCCATGCCATTCAGAGAGCGCTCCAAACATTTGCTCACAAGCTTTGGGTGGGGAGAGAAGCATCTGACAGCAAGCAGCTTGTACGGGAGCTACTATCAGCATTCATCTCAGGGTGCTGCCACAGTCAGAGTCCTGCCGTGACAACTGACAAATAAAGAGTTTTTTCTTTTCACAAAAATGTTTAAATAGCATAACGGGGTCCAATTACGTGTGGCTTAGCCCATGTTCAAAATTCTCAGAGTGACATGATGACATTTAACAACAATCTAGCGGTCTGCCAACTCATAAAAATGTCAGCTGTTCAGAAAGAGACTGCAATACTTCAAGAGTGAAGGATGGTTAAATGAGCCTCTAAAACCATCTGCACGATTTCAGTCTCTTCCCAGGTAACAATATTTAGATGAATACAATGTTTGTGAGCGAATTACGAGGCTGTAGTTACGTAACTTAAAAATGCAACAATTACGTTTGGTGTGTGTTGCTCTGCACAAGTGTTTCTTATAAAAGTGAGCCTGTGATCTCAGAGTTTATATTGATACTAATCCACTTTGAGCATCTTCCAGTTCCACACATTTCTTGGCTGTGCTGCTGGCAGGAAGGTTCTGGCAGATGTCTAGCACTTTCTTTGGAATATTTTACGTGAAATGGTTCAGGTGGAGCCAGCAGTGGAAAACGTCAGCGCATTCCATTAGATCAGATTGGAAAGTCTGCTGTAAGCATGTGTACTTAAAATAATGATGCCCCTCGTCTTTCCCTCTGATGTCAGATGATTGGGCTGATATGTGCAGCCGTGTTCAGCCCGAGCTGGGTTTAGCGTTCGCTTGGCTGACTAGGGCTGTGTGGTCATTAGGATGATAGCTACCCAAAGAATGCCACGAACAGAAAATAACAAGCACATCTCACAGAGACAGATAATAACACTAAGCGTGACCAACAGCAAAAGCAGAGCTAGTGACACTCATTTCTCACTGAGTTCTGCTCAATTTCTAAAACTTCAAAAAATAAATTGGGAGCAGAACTTTTTCAACATACAAGAAGCATTCTAATTACAGTCGGTACCTATTAGGAATCAAACCCTTGCAGTACCAATTAGTAATTCATAAGATGGCTTGTGGCCAGATTGTCTAGCCAGATTCATTCCTTTTCTAAAGACAGTGGCGATACAGGCTGGGAGCCACTGAGACCACATGGCTAAGCCCTGTCCAGGCAAGACAAAAGAAATTCTTCAATCTTTACCGGCTCACTGTCCTCCCCTGAAAATGTCAGTTGTGCTGCCTTGTCACAGGGTTTTCACAAGGGATCATTCATTAAGAGCACTGACTTTGAAATATATTGTAAATAAATAAGTAATCCAGCACACAGCCTGGAGGTATGTGCTGAGAGCACAGCAACAGATTTCACTGCTGCTCCTAATTAAAGCAAAGAGAATAAGCCCAGTCACACACGTGCGATATCACAAGAAAGGTCCTTATTTCTGTACCCTTTGATCAATATGTCTGTTCACATCTAAGGGGAAAAACCAGCAGCCCGTTTCATGTCACGAGATTCTTACCAAGCTCTCAGGCAGTCACACGAAAACAAGGTTTCCTGAATCATTTACACATCAAATTAAGTACATTTTGTTGCATTTCTTCACCAAGCTAATAAATAAAAATAAATAAAAATGAGATTAAGGAAGGAATTAATGCCTACGACAAGACAGATACATATCGGAGATGCAGTCAGTTTTCTATAAAAATCCATCTATCTAAATTTAAATTGTATTTTTATGTTGGGATGGTGAGAAAGAATTTTTTTTAAAGTAACTGTAGCAACAAGTATTTTGTTTCCTCACTGTAACACCATGAAACCAGTGGAGCAAACACATTTCCTGTTATTACTATACCGATTTTATTATTATATTAATTATAGCCTAGTCACCTAGGGACTTCATTTGAAA